GTCATTTTCAGCTGTGAGTTCCAAAATGTGGGGTGCAGGTTAAATAATATAAAAGTGTTTTGTGAGATTAATTAAAATAATCAGTTCTCACACACACACACACACACAAATACAAATTAAAAAATAAAAATCAACAAACCACAAATGAAACTTTTATTTTACAACTATTTTTAACTTGATATATTATAAAAAGATGCAATCCCGCACACTATCAATACTTGCGGAGTTTGTGTTGATTGAATTTAATATATAAAAAATTAACTCAAGAATACCAGACCCTGAAAAAACACATATCATGGAACAGTCAAAGACATCTGAGATTTTAAAAAAATTTAACAAAAAATTTAATTAAAAATAAAAAGCATACTAACATAATTCACATCTATCTCAATGCCACATTAAACATTTTTCTGTCTACAAGCAATCAAAATAAAACATGTATGTGTCTGTATTTTTGTTTGTGGATAAACACATTTGTAGCTGCATGAATAAATTGCACGGATCTAGATCTTTTTAAATTCTGTGTGTTTTGTCTTGTGAATTTTGCCATGAAATGCTATACCCCAATCATTGTGCATTTTACAAAGGTTCCTCCCCCTCATCATCTCTCCAAAGAGAATGAAACAGAGAGACAGAGAGAGAAATGAAGGCAATCAAAAGAAAAGACAACCTGAGGAAAGAGTAAAATCACTGACATAATTACCCAGATTAGGCTGGAAAGAGTAATTGCAAGATAAACCCTCACGGATGTCATCTCGATGTGCTCTTTGTGGCTTAATCAGAGACACTACAGTATCAAATCAATATATGCTAAAAATGTAAAACAGTTTGTGCTAAAACAGGAAAGCTACCGAGGGAACCTGCAGTTTGTGTTATAAAGTTTTACACTAATCACCCAGGCCTCCATGTCACATGGGTTTCACTACTGGTCAAGCCTGGGAGAAATATAGTATTGACAAAGATAGAAAAAAAATCCCCAGAATGCGAGTAAACTCAGTTGTGATTATATTTGAGTGTTGTTAAGGGACCGTAGCCCTAGCATTCAGTGCACTTTCAGGTGATTTAAGGGCCATGGCTGTGGGGTCCACTTTGGCTCTCTGAGGCCCCCAGGATGACCTAGATGATAGATGACCTTCACACTGCCTGAATCAATAGCAATTAACTAGAGCACTAGAGCCAGTGGTGTTTAGTAAAAAACAAAACAAAGTTCCCAGTACAACGCGGCCTGTTTGCAAACACAAAAACACATTAAAACGTAGAGTTTAGACACATATAAATGATATTAACAATCCGCATGGCAAACCGTGCATATGAACAAAATATCTGAGCCAATTATCAACATATCAGCTCATCCCACAATCATCCGATCTCGTTATTTAATTTAGCATTACTGAGGCATGACCTGTCGAGGTACTTTTGAAATGATCAGGGCCGTTTGCACGGAAATGAGGTTTTGCATTTATTAACCAAACAAACTCATTTTCTACATTAATGACTTAAGGAATTAACATGCAAAACGAAATCTCAGCACTAAATTGGCAAGACACATCAGACGATGCGGTAAAATGAGTTCAATTACCGCATGAAAACAGGTTTTACCCGTTTACACAGTATTAACTTTATTCTACTGTGAGATATAACAGTATTGCAGTTTTCAAGTTGGGAAGCTAAAGGAAAACATTTTAAACCATCATTCAGATATAACAGATTTAAAATACTAAATCTCTTAATACACAACAGATTGCTATGATATTGGCTTGGAATTATACTGTGCCTTTCTGTGCAAAGGCGGCATTTATTAAGTTGCTTAAAATGTTTTAATTAAATTTCTATGAAATAATGAACTACAAATACTAATAAGCAATAAATGGGACTTCGCTATATTGTGAATATACTGTAGTCAAAGTTATAGACAATGAGTTACATACAATACAAAAAAAAAAAGATGCAAAATTGTAATACTGCACAGTGTTAATTAGAATTCGTGCTCTATAAAGTATACAGCGCTTTATTCATCTCTTTCACTTATCAAAAATGTCATTTTCTTTGTTTAGAAGATAATTCATGTCAGTCAAACTCACAAAAGTGAGAGAGGAAAAGACATTCATATTCATGTTAATTTATATACATGTTCATATTCATGTTAATTTATATATAGGCTTTTATATAATATAAAATTATGTGAAATAACATGTTTAGATGATAGAACAAGGAGTATCTGAAATAATATTATGTACAGAATTTTATAATACCAATCAACTTGTAGAAATGCAGAACATTTAATGAAGGGGTCATATCATGAGAAATCATTTTAAATAGTATTTTTAGTAGTATTTTTATTTTTTTACTTTTAAATAGAACAATACTTTATCAAATAAAATAATTTCTCATTACATGACCTCTGTTTTAAATGTTTTGAATTTCTACAGTCAATGAATCAGCAGTTGCTCTTCCAGGCCTGAAATTTCCAAGCACACAGTCACATTTTCTCAATCTGGAAAAAAGAGGTGTTTGTCAGGATTGAAATGCTGAGTGTGCATTAGAGAAAATCTGAAGTGTATGTGTACTGACAGGAGGACAGCGTGGTGTGTGACAGCAGCTAGTTGTCTGGCCCGAGCAGCAGCTACAGGCTTCTATAGAGCAGATGATAGATCTGGACAAATATCAGGTAGTAGGGTGTGCACTCTTGGCAGAGTGTGGGTTTAGAGTTATAACACTAAAAAATATATATATATAAAAAAAAATATATATAAAAAAAATAATAAAACCCGGAACATGTCTACACTGAAAAAAATGATTCGTTGTCTGAACAACCATTACTTATAAAAGTAAATCGATTAAACACAAAAAACGTAGTATTTATAACTTTTCAATGTCTACTTAACATTATATAGTGCGTGTAACGCAAAAATATAAGTTACAAGGTGAACTTAAATGTATGCATAAATAAAATGAAAAAACATAAGTCATGTCAACTACTATTACAATTACGTTAAAATTAAGTAAATCTAAGTAAAGAATGTTGAGTGAACTCAAATATTTAAGTTCATATAACAAAGATTATCTTGTTTATTTTAAGTAAAATTGTTCCAAGTTGGGTTTACTTAAAAAGTGTGATGCAAAAATGGTGCATACATATTTTAAGTAAATCCAACACATCATTTTTACCAGTGTATGTAGTTTAGTAGAACTATTAGACATCTGACTATCAGTATAACGTCTCAGCTGGTGTACCCAACGACACAAGGCCTGTTTACTGGCCAAGTCCAGAGCTGGTTGAATCAGGGTGCACAGATTTTACCAGGAATTTCTTCTGTGTTTTCTATACAGTTTAGCTAAGCAGCTTAGCAAGCATCACTAATAATTACAATGTGCTCTTTTAAGTGTTAGGGTTGTCTAGTCATTTCAGTGTTTGGTTATTAGTTCAGACATGAGCCATGCAAATGAGCAGTCCAGGTGCACGCGGACGTGCGTGTGTGTGTGTGTGTGTGAGTGTGTGTGACACTTAGAAAGCTGACTATTTTGCCTTGTGGCATAAGTGTAGTTGAATGATAATGTTTAGACGCACTTCTAGTCAGTATCAGAATACTTCTCATACTCGCTCTTCTCACAAACTCACTATAACGCGCGGTGACACTCAGTCTGATGCCCTTGCAGATGATTATGACTGACATTCACGGAAAATGAATGTACAGGAGGTTGATTTACAATCTGTATCTTTAGCAATGGATTGTTAAACTGCTGTATTTGACTTTTACATTTGTCTAAAAACACTGCAGAAGGACAGAAAAAGATATCATAACATGTCCTCTGACAATACAAAAACAACTGATGTCAATGTTTGCTACGTCTGCACTTTTGTATCCTCTTGAGACTCATTTTTGTTCACGATAGGGAACATGAGCCCAAAGTCTAAAATTTGTTTTATTTTGATTTTAATTCCTCATCTATTTGCATTGAACTTTACATTTGTATATCAGACATTTTTTCTGCAAAGCCGTAAATGACGAAAATCACAAGCGGTTTATCATAAAGGTGCCAACAATAATAGCTTTATTACAGTACAGAGTATACAGAAGCTAGTTTTTAAAAAATAAATAAATAAGAAGGGCTTAAGAAGCTACATTTGTAATATTGTTGTCAAATGTTATTGGTGATTTGATATGTTATAAATGTTACCTTGACAAACAGTTAAGGAGCTGTAGTTGAGTAACTGTAAACAGCAGTCTACACCTTAAAAATAAAGATTCTTTATTGCTATTGTTGGTTCCATGAAGGACCTTTAACACCCATGGAACCATTGCACAAAAGGTTCTTTATATATACTTTATTCTCATATATACTTAATATCTACTTCTATTACAAATGTGATTATCTAAATATGTTATATAGAGCAAAAAAAGAAGAAGAAAGTGTAAAAAAAAAAAAAGATAACAATGGTTTCTTGTAATATTATACACATGAATGAAGCCCAACAGAGAAACCAGCTCTCATGCCAACATAATAAGCAATCTGCTTTGCTCAGTGTTCACAGACACGCTGGAGGTCCTTCTATTACCTGGTTACCTGGAACCCCTGCGTTCCGGCCCATATGGAGCCCTTCAAACAGGCAGCCACAACAGACTCGAGCAAAAGATCCACAACCAATCTCCTGTCATCTACCAAAACCATTCCGCTTCATTTTTCATGTGAATATAAATCTTTCTGCCTATGATATCTGAAGATCTGTACTTTATGAGCGGCTGGCCTTTTTCCAAGGTATGACATCATCACGGGTTTGACTCAGACGCAACACTCCCCAAAACCCGGAGAACATCAGCTTCCATACAGCAACGTGCTGAGATATTAATGAGCTTATAGTTTAACTGATTGTGTGAGAGCTAATCCGCTGTTTACAAACAGCAGCAGATGGGATTTTACAGGTGAGAAGCTAAACAAACTGGCGTGACGGTGATTGTAAACACTCCTTTTTTTATTCAAATGTTGCGATTGAAATTATACCCGCCTCTCTGTTTTATTCTAAAACAAAGTAAAAAATTTATTTTAGGAAACCAGGCCTGTTATGGTAATATGAACTAATAAAGGAAAGGTAAAGGCAGCTAACTCACCCCTCTCACATGTGCGGGACCAGTAACCGGTGCCTGTGCAGTCACAGATAAAGCGATTCCATCCTTCTTTGCACACCCCTTTGTTCTTGCACGGATAGCTGTCGCACTGTTTGCCTGGCATCTTGTTGCAGGAAGGTTTGATGCCTGCACCGTTCTGGTCCTCAGCGATCTGCCTGATGTCCTTACTGCGACCGTCAATGAACAGGTCCCGAATGCATCCCACATAGCCGTAGTTTAGCATGGCAGTCCACAGTTCAGTGGGAAGGATAAGGCCGGCCCGGTTATCGGGGAGGCCGCCCAGGTACATGTCCCCCTCCAGGTCCAGGATCTCATTTTCGCCACTGGCGGTGAACGGAGTGCGACGGCTGTTAACAGATATGGTGCCTGGGAAGAATCAAGAGAAACCGAGATTATATGAGCCATAAAATACACTCACACAGTTATTGTTAGCGGTCTAGTAACGTTACAGTTAGTTTTTTGCAGTTTAGGTTTGTGCGTTTAACCCCCTAAAATGTCCCCAAAAGTAATTTTAATCCCACAAAATCAAAAATCATATATGTTAATTTGAAATACAGCTGCATTAAAATAAATAAAATATACTATATATATGGCAACTAACTGAAATAAAATAACTTTACAGTGAAGTACTAAAATGATTAAAATAAAAAAAATAACTAAAGAGTAATATTAACAAAAAATAATAAAAATTACAAATTGGTATTAAATTATTTTATTAAACTGCTTTAAAATTATGAAAACTATCTATCTATCTATCTATCTATTTATCTATCTGTTTTTTTAAACTAGCTTCTGTTACCAAATGTATATGATAAATTGCTTGTGATTTTTCTCATTTGTTATTTTGGGTTAAAAATGTCTGATAATAAAAGGTAAACTAAGTTAAATATAAATAGATCAGAATTTTAAGAACAATTTGATTATAAGCTACTGGATGTATAAAAAATAAATAAAAGCTAGTTCAGATTATTATGAAATACTATAATAGTATATACATAATGCTAAAACTGGTTAGGAAACATATATATATA